AAAAAAAAAAAAAAAAAAAAAAGAGAAAGAAAAAAAGAAAAAAGAGAGAAAAAAAGAAAAAAAGGTAGAAAAATGCGGGATCGTTACGAGAGGGTTGTGTCGAGTATTCGTATTAATTTCGTTCTATATTTTTTTTATTTATTTATTTATTTTTATTTTTTTCAACCTTGATCTCGGTTGATGTCTAGTTAGCCCCGTTAATTAATGGGAACGTTCCGATGGAATCTCGTGATCCGAAAAAGCATCGACGTCGAACACGAGCACGTTCGAAATTACATTTTGCGGATTTTCGAAAGCATTCGGTTTATAATCCAAATTAATAACCCGAGGCAAATAGCACGGGAAACGGCGTTTAAAAGCTATAGCCGCTGATTAGCCCGACGAACGTATTACAAAATCAGTTGAATTCGATCGTTGATCCACGCGATATTTTATTACACGCGATCAACGAAACAAAAAAAAGGAACGACTTATTAATTTTTTTACGAACGATAATTTTTCTTTTTTTTCTTTTCAAAAACGTGACTCTTTCTCTGCTCATAGCACGAACGTAACAATTTCTTTCTCCCGATAATCTGCCATCGAGCGATGTTTGCTCAAGAGCGATTTTTCTTCGTCACTCGTCTTTTCTTTCGAGAATTTTGTACTTCCTGTATGTTCGTACGAATCACGGATTCCTACGAAACGGATTCGACAACGAGGGGTTCTCGCAACGGGCACGCATCCCCCGTTATGACTCATTATCCACAACGTGTGTACACGTTGGATAATGGAGGCCGACGGAAGGAGGCGAGTTTGCGGACAGCGAACGCGAGACCGGGTGTAATCACTTACGCCTCCGCGTAGATGGTGGTGGCTCTCGTCCCAGACGGAACGAGGAGGGGAGGAAGAAGGGGTGAGAGCGAGCGAGGGTGGAGGGGTGAGTCAGAGAGGGAGGCGGTCGGTGTTGTCACGCACGTGACGTGTTGCGCGATTATCATAGCGAAACCTCTCACGTTTCCCTCGTGTTTCGCTCGTCGAGAAGGAAAGTGACACGCGACACATTTTCGAAGGTCGAACCACACGTAACGAGAAAGAGGAGAACGAGTTATCGCCGATTCGTGTTACGGGCGAGAGTCGAAGAAAGGCCCATTAGAGGGTTAATCGAGCGACCGCGTGCGATAACGCAAGCGACAATCGTACGACTTTATATTTCGCTCGTTCGAGATCGATCACGCGTACACGCGTGAGTGTAGACGGTTATGTACTATATACTTTTCAATCGTAATCGCGAATTTATTGATCCGTGATCTCTCGATCGCGTGGATTCGTTTAATTGGATTATATATTAATATAATGCATATCGCATTAATCGATACGCACGTTAATCGGTGACGCGATAATTTAAGCTTTCGTATTTACTTTGCCGCACACCTTTTTCAATTCCTCGTCACGTATACGCGATATTTCGTTAATTACGTTCACCGGGCAAACATTATACTTCGCTTTTATCGAATCGCTTTTATCAACGTTTCTTCTATACGCGTTATATTTATTTGTTTCTCCACCACTTTCTTTTTTTCTTTTTTTTTTTTTTTCTCCTTTTCGCTCTCCTCTCATTTATCGACTCGAAACTTTAATCACGTTTCCGAGCAGCAATACGTACGTACCGCCGTTGTCCGCCACGCAAACGCAAAGGAAATTACAAGGCTAAGCCGAAGATAATATCGAAGTTAAATATTTGAGGAGAAACAAAGCGCAGAGAAAAGGCCTCCATTTACCGTTGATGTTTAAAATTGATTTAAATTGCCATCACGGGGAAAGGGGGAAAAAAAAAAAAAAAAAGAAAAAAAACAAAATACAACGAAAATTAAGATTTCAAGCGTTTCCCTCGACTACCCTTAGGCGAATAAAAACCCTTCTTCTTCCTCTCCCCTTCTCCCTCCCCTTCTTAATCTTGATTCGCTCGGCAACGGGGTAACTATCCCTTAAATATTAATAACGCGTGGAAGGTAGTAAACTTGGAAACTATTAGTGGACAGGATGGCGCGTATAAGCGGAAGAGTGTATTTAGTAGTCGTTATATTCGGGTTATAACGCGGTAAACGTTGTTAAGCAAAACTGGTAGTAGGACCGCGCGTGTCGTAACTCAGTGGAGCGGATTGTCGGGAACATCGTATCGATTGAACGGAGGAGGATCGATATTCCGCGCGCGTTATCGGTTTCGAGGAAAGCTCCTTTCTCTCGTCTCGAAACAGGATGGCTTCTTCCACGAGCGGGTTCTTCCTCCTTCCGAGCGCGTGGATTTGTTAACAGTGGTAAACTGTTTCATCGTTTACCCGAAAATTTGACGATGTTCATCGGGCGAATAAAAGCTCTCGAAATGCCTCGCTCGATAAACCGCGAAACCGTTTCGACTCATCGTGGAGGTACGCGTTTCGAATCGTGGCACGCGATGCATCCGCCCAGCGAATTACTATTTTTTATCTGCATCTTTACTTCGCCTCCTCCGCTTATAACGTTCTGATTCGCTTCGTTCGTTCTCCGTCCACCGCCGATCGAATCAATTTGTCATGCGTCGCGTGTGTATCCCGTGTGTTTATTAAATGGCCTCCCTTCCGTCCGTCCATTTGCATGACACTGTTAAAAAGAGAGAGAGAGAGAGAAAAAAGAAAAATCCAAATTGACCGAATTATCCGCGGGCACGATCTGCCCGCCTCGCAATTACTCTCTGCGCCCATAATGCGTTTC